TTCAGGACATGATACCTGTTCTCACACTTGTTCACTATCCACTGCAGACCTTCATCACTCTCTATTCGCTCCTCTACAGTCTTCACTCCTAACCAGTCTCCATAGGTAAACAGAACCAGTGTGTGTTTCCAGATTTCTTCTCTAAACAGACTCATGTGTTGCTGAACAGATCTCAGATATGATTCATCAATGTTGATCATTACAGGAATAACCAGCAGCACAGCATGTGGTCCTGGAGGACACAGATTCACACTGTTCTCTATTTCCAGTTTATCCATCTCACTGGTTTCCTGAAGGGTGTTGATGTAAAACCAACCAGGAGAATCGACCACTGTGAGCCGCCTTCCTTCAACCAGACCATGACTGATTTCACTGTGGGTTGTTCTTCTGTCAACTTTATCATTAACATTAAACACATTTTTTCCTAGAATGGTGTTTCCTGTTGAGCTTTTGCCAGCAAATGATCCTCCAATCATCACTATTCTTAAATGGTCTAGAGGGACTTTTCCACCTAAACCAACAAAATAGAAAACAATAATAATAATTTAGTTCAGTCAATAAAAAAAAATGCCACTCCCCTTTACTGAGAGCCAAGTTGATTACAGAGAAAATAGACGAATCAAACTGTTGTAAAGCTGCTAATTATTAGTAGTGAAAAGAGAACGGCAATAAATACTCAAGAGGTGAATCTCTGGCATGAATTGTGGGACTTGGGAGATTTTAAGTAACTCATGTATCTTCTTTTGCTTTAGTGGTGCCAGTGAACTGTCCAAAGATTTTGGAAAAGAAAACAAAAGGGATTTTTTTAACACCATACTTTATTTTTCTAGCTCTATATTTGTGTCACAAAGTTTTGGTTGTGTTTTACCAAGAAACAGTAAACTAGTTTTGTTATCTTAAGTTTGATTTGATGTTTCTTTTCTTCAAGTAATAGTCAAACATTTTCCAATAGAAAAACTTCAACAATGTTATACTGAAGGTAAGATATGATTTTCTCACAGATGTGACTGAAAACATTTACTTCCTTCAACATAGATCATTATGTAGAAGTAGATTTGATTCTAGATCAAATTTTCCACCTAAGGTTCAGGGGAGAAGTGTGTTTGCATGGAGGCACAAGACAAAAACAGTAAATAGAACTAAATGTGGTATTTTATTGTTAATATTCATACTAAATAATGTTAATATTAATTGAGCCACAGAACCAAGGAGCCTCTTGTGACTCTGGAGCTGCAGGTTGAAAACTTCTGATGAAAACTGATTGTATCTCAATTCTACTGAAGCTTAATTTTCAATGTATTGTTCAGGTAAAACTTTGAAGGTAAAAAGTTAAATTGGTCCAAGTGAACAATTTGTTGCATTTCTATGCCAGTGAATGTCAACTTAATAGATTAAATTTGATCTCTTCACTCAGAGGCATCATCTCAAAAATGAGGGGATTTTTTTTTTTTCACAGTTAACTGAGTGATTTATTGTCTTCTTGGATTCAATGACACCTCTCCTTTGTGCACTGAAAAAAGACTCTAATTTATAGTACAATACATGTAATTTACCATATAAATACAGTAAAATTCTTGGAACTACAGCTGCTGGTATTTTGCGTATATTAGAAACATATATTTTTAGTGTGGCTAAGAAGACACACAATCACTAAGAGTCACAGTACAACTGAGGGGATCAAACTTAAATTAGTAGCTGGTATGTAATTAGTATTTAGTTTAGTAATTTCATTAGTTTTATGGTTCTTTAAAATGTAAAGAACCATAAAACTACAACTATCAAAATCTAAAATGTTATCTGCCAAACTTTGGTTGATCTGATGCAATTATCCATGAATATTTACAAGATAAGAAATATTGTAGCTCATTGGAAATGAAGAAACTTGTAACCTACCTTCAATCTGTAGCTTCAGTTTGTTTCTTTGTTTCTGGACTTGATCAAACCTTTTTGAGGCTCTTTCAGTCAAATCTCTCATTTCTTTTCTCAGAGTTTCTCCTTGACTTCTGTCAACAGAACAGTGTCTGAATCCATTGATTGCAATCAGGGTCTCAATTTTCTCTAAAAGCTTCTTGACTTGATCTCTATCTTCTTTGTTACTGAGGTTGAGAAAATGTTTTCTGTCTCCACATTGTTGAAGAATCCACTGCAGGACTGGACTTGTTCTGATTTTAGATTCTACAGTTTCATCACTACATGGATTGACTGCTGTGAACAACACGATGGTGTGACTGAAAACATCTGCATTAAAAAGCTCCAAGTGTTGCTGTAGTGAAGCTTTGGCTCGCTGAGATAAATGTAAACTGACAGGAATGACCAGCAGAAAGACATGAGGTCCTGGAGGACACAGATGGACACTGTTCTGGATTTCTATCTGATCCAGTTTTGGGGTGTTTTCTCTAGAGGAACCCCACCACCATCCTGGAGTATCAACCACTGTGACTCGTCTGCCAAACACTTCCTGCTGCCTCGCTTCACTCTGAGCTGTTCTTCTGCTGGTGTTGAAAACATTTTGACCCAGAATGAAGTTTCCAGCTGAACTTTTACCACTGGGAAGGTTATTATATCTTCCTCCAATCAACACAATCCTCAACTCTGTAGCAGGTTGGCTTTGTGCTGTAAGGAGAAATAAGGTGTTAGAAACACTTACTTTGTTCATACCAGCACTGTACTTTCTAAGTTAACTGTATATTCTGATTGGAAAACTTTTTTATTAAGTAAATATCGATAACATTTAGACACACAATTACATTTGAAATAAACCTAAAACAAAAATAACTATAAAAGCAGAGGGAGACATTTTGTCCAACTCCCATCTCTTGTATAAAGTCAAAGTCTTTGAATTTAACAAATTCTGCCACTAAAATGAAAGTTTATAAAATATAATCCAAGATAGAACAAAGTTTATGGAAAGTTTCATAAAAACGTCACAGACCTGAGTTGGAAATATCAGCCATTTTGTTAGGTTCACTCTGCTTGTTGGCTTTTCAAAACCTGTTCTTAAATGAAAGTAAAGAGAGCAAACGTTGATGGTTGATCAAGTCAAACATAGTCAGAGATTGCCATCTGTTGGGGAACAAGAATCACTGCATTTCTAC